GTGTACCCCACCCCTCGCACAGCGACAGCTGGATATGAGCACCAGTGACCCCCGTGACCTTGAAAGGAAGAAGCAGGTATAAATAATGGATGGATGGATGGATGGATGGATGGAACACTCCTAAAACAAAAGTAACCCATAAACAAAGTGCATCCAGGAGGTTTTGTAGTTCAGTGTGTTTGTCTGACAGCTGGTGTGTTGAAGGAAGCTTTCATTTGTTGTTGGTTTGGTTACACAACTCCATGATGAGTGACCAAGCTCAGTCTGAGGGAGTAACACCTGGTTTCTGGAACTTTCTTTAACACAACTGGGATCTGCTGCTCACTGGGGTCTGACCAACAAGTGAAACAAACAAGTGACTGGTTTGTGTGGTGGATCTTAAAGGGTGAGTCACTGTGGCTAACACAGGTGACCAGAACCATCAGAACCATCAATAATCAGCCTCAGGTGAAACAGGTGAAACAGGTGAAACAGGTGAAACAACTAAACATAATCATGTCCAACTCCAGGTTGTCACAAAGTTCTTTATGACAGAAATAAAGCCAACAGATTATTATCATTTCCACCACAGAAACACAAGCAAGTCGTTTAGTTTCTACGGTTAAACTACTTTACATTCCAACAACGTTGAAACTAGTCCTAAAACTGATACGTTTCTTCAATACTATGAATAATTATATAAAAAGGTCAAATCCAGGAATCAAAAGAAGAAAAAAAGATACTTTATAAAAAAAACTAAAATTATAAAGACTGACAGCTGACGAAGCCTCTGTTAGTAAAACCAGTTACAGAAGAAGTAGTAAAGATACAACAGGACAGATAAAAATAATAAGTCACAGGAATGAACAGGTTTGCAGGAGATATTATAAAGTATTGTTTAATGAACTCTGTCCCACATTCTGTAAATTATATAACTGATAAATTCAGGAAGCCTCCAGAGTCATGGACAGGAGCATCATCACAGGCCTTATAAAGAAGGATCCACTCTCTGCTCCACTTATCGTCCCTTTAGCCTCTTGTGTGTCGACTATAAAATATTAACATCCATTCTGGCAAAGAGAATTCAAAAATACATCAAGAAATTAATAAAACCAGATCAGACGGGGTTTATTTCAGGTCATCAGGGGACAAATAACATATGGAGAGTATTAAACCTGCAGTCACATGTGACAGTTTCAGTTTTAATGATTTTATTGTTAGTTTTATAAATTATTCAGTTTGGTACCAGTCAGCTCTCCCTCCTGATATATAGGATATATTTGACCAGCTTGGTGTTTTTTACTGTTAGTTTTATAAATGGTTTAAAGTTAGGGGTTTAACCAGACACACAAGGACATGTGAAGTATTAAATCATTATAAATACACAACCTTTCAACTTCAATTAAATAAGAAGTGACAAAATGATTTAAATAAAGACTGTGAGCACAGAAAAATAAAGTTTTTGTCACACATATTATTTATAAAAATAGAACAATATAAATACAAAAACCAGGCGGTTCTTAAAGGTGAGTCACTGTGGCGTACACAGGTGATCACAGTGAATAATAATTAGGCTCAGGTGGAAACAGGTGGAAACAGGTGAAACAGGTGGAAACAGGTGGAAACAGGTGAAAACAGGTGGAAACAGGTGGAGACAGGTGGAGACAGGTGGAAACAGGTGGAGACAGGTGGAGACAGGTGGAAACAGGTGGAGACAGGTGGAGACAGGTGGAAACAGGTGGAGACAGGTGGAAACAGGTGAAACAGGTGGAGACAGGTGGAGACAGGTGAAACAGGTGGAGACAGGTGGAGACAGGTGGAAACAGGTGGAGACAGGTGGAAACAGGTGGAGACAGGTGGAAACAGTAAATTAATTTGCTACAACCCCAGGTTGTTACACACTTCTGACAAAAGATACACAAACACCAGTGATTCTCATCTTAGATGCAGAGAAAACATTTGACAGTAGACTGGTCATTTCTCCAACAAACATTGATGGTTTTGGTGAAATTCACTGGGTCACCTGGGTCAGCTCACTTTGTACCTGCAGCAGCAACAACATCAGCACCTGGGTCAGCTCACTTTGTACCTGCAGCAGCAACAACATCAGCACCTGGGTCAGCTCACTTTGTACCTGCAGCAGCAACAACATCAGCACCTGGGTCAGCTCACTTTGT